CCTGCGTCTTGTTTCTTGTTTCTCAGTCAGACCTCTGTATACATCCAGTCCTATCTCCTCCTCAGCCTTTTGTTATTCTTTATTTAGTATCAGCCATTGCAGCTATGGTATCTCACTTAGGTCTTCTGTCAAAGCACCCTATCTATGTCTCGATGTGCCTTCATTTGGCTTTTAGTGTCATTTTTATGTCATTCATTTATATGGAGATAAAAATGGAGGCCCGGTTAATTCTCTGTGTTGTGTCTGAGAACACAAAATATAAATGCCTCCACCTGTAAGAGTCATTAATACTAATAAGCATGTGCAGAATAATCAGGCAGCTGCTGTGTAAGTGGGAGACGGTTATTATAAGAGCAGGCTTATACTTAGAGGCAGCACATGGCTGACATACAGTTTCCTCATCACGCTCAGTTGTCATCCTGAAATGCAAACCAAACACTTTTAAATAGTATTTATAGTTGAGTGAGAATGGCTCTCTGTTAAGCCAACTGACTTAATGAATGCACGCAGTCCTCTCCCGTTGTATAAGATGAAATAAACCTATAGTGTGGATGGAGTGACTGTAAGTTGATGCAGCAGGTACCGACATGCAGGATTGTGTCAAATATTGGTTATGGCGCAGAGGAATTACGAGCGTCTTGTTGTCGTCTGGCATCCTGCGTCTGTTTCCCAGACTGAACTCATTTACTCAGGCTCATTCATTTTCTCAGATGCCTCAAAAACTTTCTGCCTTTTTTCCTTGGATTGAGTATCAGTTTCTCTTTTCTATTCCTTAAAAATGCCCTGTGAATTCAATCATGCAAAATAATTCAGCGAGTATCCGTCTTTTCTTGGTCTCGGTGATAGGCTTAATTTAGTCTTGGAGAGAACTTCACATATTGGAAACAAGTCATAATCAACTACTTACAGGAGAAATTAGAGATGAAATGAGCGACTAAAGCTGGGATCAAACTTGCTTGAGGATTTGAACGTTTCAGAAAATGTGAGGTACTAAATGGGAAACAGCATGGCTGAAACGTGACAAGTGCCAAAAACTGCAGTTCTTCTAACGGCCACTTGAGGCAGACTCTGAAGGCAAG